TGCTTCTAAGAACTATTCTCGTTCTTCTAATCAGTATTATCAAGGGTATGTCATTGGATCACCCAATTACTCTTCAAAGGTTAAAAGCATTTGGGTCAATAATTCTGAATCTGTTTTATCTCATACACCTGTTGTTACTAACAATCTTCCTTGCMTTGTGAGATCCACTAATGATCTGATCAATCTTAGCAAGAGAAGGATTATGTGCTCAACATGCAGAACCAATAATTTTGTCAATAACAAAAGGTTCAACAGGTGGCAAGGAGATAACATCTATCAGAACAACTGGAAAGGTAAGAACAGGTATGATCAAAATTTCTGGTACGGTTCATATTTTATTCCTGATCATCCTGTTCATAGTGTGCTATAAAGAAAATATCTTATAGAAATAAATGGTTTGGAAATTACAACATACCCCAACCCGATACTAACAAAATATGACCCAAGTTCGTTTGGGTACCAAAATCTACTTAATCTGGTTTTGCAGGTGTATCAATTTTGTGCTGATCAGAATATCATTTTAATGATACACCAATGCAGGGGGAGTTGTAATTTATTCCAAACGAGGCTTCTGAACATTTCAGTTCAGGATCCGTGCTTTACCGAGTGTGGTTTCTAAACACTCAGTTTAGAACCCGTGCTTAAAATGTTTCAATTTTTTTATTCTTGTGAGCTTAACTGAATCATTACTTAAATCTGTTTTATAGGGGGAGTCTCTAGAAATTTTCAATAAATGTTTTTGGAAAATGATTTTTTTTGGTAACGAGTACATTTTCCTGAATAGGTATTTCCTGAGATTTTACTTGCGTAATTTCTCGTTGTACATAACTCCAATACCTGTTTCAGCTATTCTTCAAACTGTTATTATCACGTCTCTTATAGGAAAATCTTTTTCGGTGATAATACACTCGTTTGTATTCAAATATTGTTTTCTGATATTTTTTTCTTTGACTGATATACATTCATTTTTTTATCAAAATCTGTAAACTCGTTCTTACAGATCTTCATTCATTTCTCTCATATACCGAATAATCGAATTGTTGTCGCATCATTCTTTCGTTAATTGTGCTTAAAGCCAACTTTTTTGATCAAATATTATCTGATCATTTTGCTTTAAATAAATAATATTTTGATCAACCATTGTGATCAAATGTGCATAACGTTAAATTTTAGGAGGGACTGAGTGCTTATCAGAAATACCTCTATGGAATGTCAAAACCGACAGACCTACCCAAGAGGACAACTATATCTGAGTGCGGTTAAATACAAAAGGGTTTGTGTGCTGAGACTAAAATGAAAAAGAGAGGGGTAGTTGTTGTGAGCTAAAATAATTGACGAGTTGTGTCAGGATTAAAAGAAAATGAAAATCCTGTTCCAAACTTATATAATCCGGGCATACCACACAATCTATTAGTTCTCGATTCTTCGGAGACTAATATTGAAAAAGGCAAAGCCCAGGCCAATTCTTGTCACAACCCCACCAGCTACTCATTTATCTCTCAATAGATAAATGTTTCAATAACATTTGGGGAACGCAGCTCATCATCTATCAATTTCTCATTCGGAGTTGATATTGAAATCAGAAGGATATATGTCCCCCCTTCAAGTCTTATTGATCACATATTGAGTCTGATAAATTTGTGTAGTCCACACGATTTATTTTTTTGAGCTTAAACAGAAGCATTAGTTGCTTTATCTTTCTACACTACACAGATTTAGCATTTTATATGTTAATTTGCCAAAACATTCATAGATATGCTATTTTTTAACTATCAATGATTGAATGGAAGACCTGGTGAGATGAGCATCAAAAAGTCTCATATATATATAGTACATTCGTTGTACTGAGTATATCTGTTATACTCACAGGCCCATCTTTTTATAAGATTGAAAACAATTTCAATCGTTTAAATTGGATGTTACCTTCCCATTCCCTTAATCTGAAAAGATTTAACAAGTGGATTTGAAAAGATCTACTTATAGTTTCTTGAGTTGACAGTTTACGCGGAAGATTTCATTCATCTTATGTATGATGGAATGATTCTCATTTCATCATAAGGGGGAGTATGTAATAATGAATGAAATATTCATTTCCAAACATTTTAAAGGGAATTTGATGTAAAGATCAACTTCGGAATTAGCAAAAGACTCAAAAGAAGTGCGACTAAAGATGACTAGAGATAATTACAAAAAGATTATTCATGTGCTACAACGACTGAGAGATGTTGAATGTGAAGATCATCTTTACAACAGTTTACTGAAGATTTGTTGTCTGAAGATTCTTTGAAGATCAAATCTTGTACATTGTTTCTGTTGATTACTGTTCTACATTGTCAAAAGAGAAGATCATCGCGATTCTACATTCGAGGGGGAAAATGTTAGAAGATCTTTCTCAACAAATGATTGCTTGAAGATTTCATGTTGAAGAATTCTTTTGAAGATGACATAATGTGCTTAAAGTTTCAAAGTTCAAACAGGACTCAAAGCGCATAATTTCTTTCAAGTCTGAATACAAAGGGGGAGAATGTTAGGACTGAAAATCAGTATTAAATTGTATTCGTCTTGAAAGTTAAAATACTGTCTATAATTGTAAAAGTCATCATGTTTGACTTTTCTTAGATAGGTTTGACTTTGACCATGTTTAGAAGTTTGACCCTATAAATAGGGTGATGTCTTTGTAATCTTTAGAAGAAGAGCTTATTGTAAAATTTGATACGTAATAAGAGAGTTGACCACATTTGAAGATTGTTGACTTTCTCTCTCTATTCTCATCTTATATGTGTTTTTGAAAGTTTATCAGATATGCCATTGTTATGGAGCTTTAGGAAGATTGATCATTAAAGAAGGGACTATCAATTTTGTGTTCTTCGTTTTTTTCTTTAAACACAAGTCTCAATTCTCAAATCAATTGTTAAACTAAAAAACTAATTTTGGAAAATAAAAGATCTATATATTAATAAAAATAAAACTAATTAAATTATATATACCGAACATGAGGCGGGTCGGGGTATACACTACCCGGTCCCGACCCCAACCCCGGTTTGAGCTTACCGGGGATCCCTGGCTGATAAGCATGGTTTATTACATGTTTAAAGTCCCCATTTCTTTGCTTAATAGGTAAATTATTATCTCTTATCCCAACCTTGAGTCATTTTTATTTTCTTATTTTCCATTTGTTATATTTGGAGCTGAATGTGGTGATTAAGTTGTCTTTACAACATTTGGGGTAGATGTAATTTTTTAACTTAGAAATATTGTGCTTTATGCTGCAGCATTCCAGCAGCATTAATCTGTTCTGAACCGGCTTTTTGAGGAAGTGCTTATTGATTCAGCCGTTGTAGTGGAATGAAGACAAAATCTGCAAATCTTTTGGTTATTACCCTTCACAGCTGGGAAAAGGACTTTTTGGTGGCTACTAGAACTTGATTTGATGTTCCCTTATTCCTTATTGTCCCCCCTTTAAGAACATGTTGTTTTCCAAGACTTTTTTCTTTACTCTTAGGACTTTTGTGTAAATTGGAGTTTTGGGTGCTCCTTTGTAATCATCCCACAACACTTAACTTTCAGAATCTTTAGTTTATATTTATGTAAGTGAAGTTCTTAAAATTTTTTTAAATATTGTTCTTCGTTATGAGTTGCTGCAGCATTGTTATTTATTTTTTTTATTTTTCTTGGCATTTAATTTTCGCTCTTTACTTTCAGTCATTTATATTTACGTCTTTACTTTCTGTTCTTTACATTTTACATCATTTATTTTCCGCAATGAGTAGCTAATTTCATTAACTTGGGTGTACGATAAAGGGTGAAATGTTAAACTAGATGAAAGTAGACGTTGTTTCGCAATAACAATGTTCCACTATTTCATTCAAGTTCTATAAAAACCAAGTACACTTATTGACGAGTTGATCACTTTGAAAATGTTAAAGTGCCATGGTCTTAGAGATAAGCCATTGAATGCACGTCAGCTTGAATGATACGAGAGGTAGACTTGAGAAAGTTACCGACAAGAAGACTTGTCATTTGTGTCTTTCAAACTTAACTCCCGACAGGTTGGTCACTCTTTAAAAGTGTCAAAGTGCGATAGATTCAGAGATGAACTATCTAGAACATATGCCAATTAGAATGATATGGGAATCGGCTCGAAAGAGTGATTTTTAACAAAGAGATTTGTTTATCCATATATATTGAAGACACCATTTTGTCACTATCCCTGGTCTGAACACCACATAGAGATATGGGTGTAAAATTATGATATAGTGCAAAGGTGAAGTTTGAGAGGAATACCTTCAAAATAGATGGTAGAACTCGTTATAGCTACTGTATGCTGTAGCATTTCTACAGCATTTTGGAGACTATGATGAAAGGGTTCATAAACCAAACCCAAACACTCATAAACCAACAGAGTGTTGCCATCAGGAATCTAGAGACTCGGGTCAGTCAACTGGCACTCAATCAGAACAATTGAGCTCTTGGTAACTTGCCCAGTAATACAGAAGTCCCTAGAGATATAGGAAAGGAACATGTGAAGGTAGTAACCCTTAGGAGTGGGAAAGAGTTGATAGAAAAGGTACAGAAATATAGTGCACCAAGTTTGTCAAAAACTGATGCTACAACATTGGTCCCTACTAAGAAAAAACCAATCCAACCTTTAGAGAAACAAGCATCTGATACCACCACTCCTATCCCCCCAAGATTAGACTATCCCTTACTATTTCCAGATGATGCTCTGAAAAAATCAGAAGGGACTGAGGTTGTAGAGACCCCTAAGCTTGATGCTAAAACTTCATCTGAACCTCCAAAGGGCACCACTAAGACCCAAGGCATTCAAGACCCATCTTGCTCAACACATTCAAGCAAGAATGTGATAAAAACCAATTCCTCCTTATGTGCCTTACCCCTAAAGGTTAAGAAATCAGAAAGAGGAATTGTATTTTAAAAAATTCTTGGATGTGTTCAATAAATTGCACATCAACATACCACTTGTTGAGGCAATCGAGCAAATGCCTAGTTATGCTAAGTTTCTAAAGGACATCCTAAGGAAGAAGAAGAAGTTGACTGAGTATGAGACAGTAGCTCTTACTGAAGGATGTAGTGCACTTTTGACCAATAGCATACCCCCTAAGCTCAAAGATCTAGGAAGTTTTACCATTTCTTGTTCAATAGGAGGAAAGGAAATAGGGAAAGCCTTATGTGACTTACGTGCTAGTATCAACCTTATGCCTTTATCTGTCTTTAACACCTTAGGCATAGGAGAGGCTAGACCTACCACAGTTACACTTCAATTGGCAAACAAATCCATTGCATACCCTAAGGGAATGATTGAGGATGTTTTAGTACAAGTTAATAAGTTCATATTTCTGGAAGATTTCATCATACTAGACTTTGAGGCCGATAAGGACATTCCTATTATTTTAGGGAGACCCTTCCTAGCAACCGGAAGGACTTTGATAGATGTCCAGAAAAGAGGGTTGAGTATGAGGCTTCAAGACCAAAAAGTCACATTTAATGTTTTCAACTCCTTAAAATACCCTGATTATTTGGAGGAGTGTTCAAGCATAGCTGAAATAGAGGAGATGTGCCATAAAGAAGAAGTTCAGGAAAGCCTTAAGTTGAAAGAAGAGAGCATAGAGGAATTAGAAGAAGAGACTGTTCAGGAAGTAGAGGCAATAGGGAATAATACTGTGTGACAGTAGAGGTGTCAGTTTTTGAGCTATTGAAAAATAATGAGCAAAAAGACTTCACCCCGTCCATTATATCACCACCTGACCTGGAGTTAAAACAACTCCCATCCCATCTGAAATATGTTTTTTCTAAGAGAAGAAGGCAAATTGCCTGTCATCATCTCATCTACCCTAGGCTCGCATCAAGATAAGAAACTAGTGGACATGTTGAAATTACACACAAAGGCCTTAGGATGGACCATTGCTGACATTAAGGGGATTAGTTCCTCAATTTTTCAACATAAGGTCATCTTAGAGGATAAGAATTTCACTTCCATAGAACCTCAAAGAAGGCTGAACCCTGTCGTGAAAGAGGTAGTAAAAAAGGAAATTTTGAAATGGTTAGATGCAGGAATTATCTTCCCAATAGCCAATAGTTCTTGGGTTAGCTCAGTCCAGTGTGTTCCAAAAAAGGGAGGGTTCACAGTCATCACAAATGATAAAAATGAACTTATCCTTACTAGATTTGTATCCAGATGGAGAATATGCATGGACTATCGTAGGCTAAACAAGGCTACTCAAAAGGACCATTTTCCACTACCTTTTATTGATCAAATGTTGGACAGATTAGCCGGTAAAGAGTACTACTATTTCTTGGATGGCTATTCAGGTTATAATCAAATAGCCATCTCTCCCGAGGACCAAAAAAAACCACCTTCACTTGTCCTTATGGCACTTTTGCTTTTAGAAGAATGTCATTTGGCCTGTGTAATGCTTCTGCCACCTTTCAGAGATGTATGATGTCCATATTTTCAGATATGCTTGAAAAATCCATTAAAATATTTATGGATGATTTTTCTTTTTATGGTTCATCTTTTGACAACTGCTTAGACAATCTAAAAAAGAGTCTTGAAAGGTGTGAGGAAACTGATATGGTCCTCAACTAGGAGAAATGTCACTTCATGGGTAAGTTAGGAATTGTTCTAGGGCACTTAATCTCTAAAAGAGGAGTTGAGGTTGATAAAGCAAAACTTGAAGTTATTGAAAAATTACCAGAACCTACCACAATTAAAGGAATAAGGAGCTTTCTAGGTCATGCAGGGTTTTACAGAGGGTTCATCAAGGACTTTTCAAAAACTTACAAAACCCTTATGTTTACTTTTACAACATGATCAAAAATTTGATTTTTAATGATGAATGTAGAAATGCGTTCAAAACTTTGAAGAAAACCTTAATTACTTCACGAGTGGTGGTTGCTCCTGATTAGAACAAACCTTTTGAAATTATACGTGATGCAAGCGATTGGGCAGTTGGTGCTGTTTTAGGTCAGAGGAGAGAAAAGGTGTTTCATTCAATTTATTACGCAAGTAAAATTTTGAATAAAGCACATATCAATTACACAACAACTGAAAAGGAATTATTAGCTGTGGTATTTGCTTTTGAAAGATTCAGATCATACTTGATGGGGACAAAAGTGATTGTACAAACTCGACCATGTGGCCATAAAGTACTTGATCTCAAAGAAGGATGCAAAGCCTAGGTTGATATGGTGGGTGTTCTTATTGCAAGAATTTGACTTGGAAATACTTGATAGGAAGGTTGTGGATAATCAAGTAGCGGACCATTTATCTAGGTTAGAAAAACCTAAGATAGGAGGAAGAGACATTATTGAGACCTTCCCGGATGAGAGAATCTTGATGGTACAACAGCAAAAGGCACCTTGGTTTGCAGATATAGCAAATTTCTTGGCTTATGGCATCAAACCATCTGAATACACAAGCCACATGCTTAAGAATTTTTTTCGTGATGTTAAGTCGTATTTCTGGGATGACCCTTTTTTGTTTAAGCTTGGTGCAGATCAACTTTTAAGAAGATGCATTCCAGAATCTGAGGTAGCAAAAGTTTTGTGTTAGGACTGAATTTCAGTATTAATTGTATTCGTTTTGAAAAGATAAAATTGTCTATAATTAAATAGACATCATATTTGACTTTTCTAGTATTTTTGACTTTGACTTTGAGGGTTATTGTTTGACCCTATATAAAGTTTGTCTTAGTGTAATTTTAGATATGAGCTCAATTGNATATAAAGTTTGTCTTAGTGTAATTTTAGATATGAGCTCAATTGTAAACACATTACGTATATTGAAAGTTTGACTAGATTGACTAATTCTCTCATTTCCTTCCAAAGTGTTCTTGAGTGAATATCTTGAAGATTGCCATGGATGTATGAAGATATTTGTAGATTGATCTCAAAGTGGACTCATAATTGATATCAGAGCTGGAAATGCAAGAAATCAAGAGAAGAAATCAACAATTTTGAAGATTTTTCAAAGAAATTTTCTGGAAATTTTTTTGTGTTCTTCTTATGTTCTTCGTGTTATTTTCTTTTATCCAAATTTTTTGAAATTTTTTGTGTTTTTGTGTTAAATTCGGGATCAAAATGTGCGGAAACACTTTGTGAATCTTTGTTATTTGTGAATTGATCATCTGATTTCAAGTTTTGATGAAATTTTTGTTTTTAAAAGTTTTCGTGTTTTTGAATTTTTTTTAAAAATCAGTGTTTTGATTCAATTTTAGTTAATATTTTTGTTTGTTTCGTGTTTTTACAATTTTTTAGCCCATGTTAAAGCCAGCCCATATCCATTTTGGACTTAGCCTGTTTTTTTTCATCTCATTTTCATCGCCAGCTTCTTCTTCATCGTGTAATCCTTCTTCACAGTCCTACTTAGTATTTTTTGTTAAACCCTACAATTCATAATGTAAAAAGTAATGAAAAACAACAAGTGATGAAGAACCAGAAGACCGATGAAGACATCAAGGCAGAAACGGCTAAGTCTGGAATACAACCAGAGGACCGATGGACAGAACAAGGATGCGATGGAAAGAGCATCCTAATCGATCCTCTGGTCAACCAACACTTGGAAGATTTTCCAGCAATTCATCCAAGCATGCAATGAAGATTCAAGGATAAGGATGAATTCATCATATCATAAATAACAACAATTCAACAGCTGGACTTCATAGTTTATCTTAATATTAAAGCTTATCCATAGAAAAGATAAACCTTATCTGTTAATAGAAGATTAGCTAGAAAGTAGCATTAGATAGTTATCTTCTTATTAGCCTCCTAATATAAATAGGTGATTAGACCTATTGTAAAGAAAGTCAAAGAAATTTCTTGTGCTCAAAGCTCAACTGGTTCTCCTTCACAGTGTAAAATAAGCTTTTATGACTGTTCCAAATCTAACAGTTATTCAAGCAGTCCTAAATCTACTGTTTCTAAGAACTATTCTCGTTCTTCAAGTCAGTACTATCAAGGGTTTGTTATCGGATCACCCAATTATTCTACAAAAGTTAAAAGCGTTTGGGTAAATAAATCTGAATCTGTTTCGTCACGTAATTCTGTTATTACTAACAATAATCTTCCTTCTTTTGTGAGATCTGCTACTGACTTGATAAATCTTAGCAAGAGAAGAATCATGTGTTCCACATGCATGAATAATGATTTTGTGAACAGGAAAAAATACATCAGTTGAACTTGAGACAACAGATTTCAGAAAAGTTGGAAAGGTAATAACAGGTATGATCAAAATAACTGGTATGGATCTTACAACGTATATGATCATCCTGTTAAAAGTGCTAAAAAGAAAACATCAAACAAAAATAGATGGTTTGGCAGTTATAACATCCCACAACCTGATACTAACAAAGAAGGACCCAAGTTCGGTTGGGTACCAAAATCTGTTTGATCTTATTTTGCAGGTGCGTCATTACCGTGCTGATCAAAATAACATGCCAATGATGCACTAATTCAGGGGGAGTTTGTAAACTGTTCAAACAAAGGCTTCTGAACAACACAGTTCAGGACCCGTGCTTTAACGAGTGTGGTTTCTAAACACCCAGTTTAGGACCCGTGCTAAACATGTTTCCAATTTTTTTATTCTTTTGAGCTGAATTGAAACATTTCTTAAATCTATTTTCTAGGGGGAGTCTCTAGAAATTTCAATAAAAGTTTTTGGAAAATGCAACTGTTTTTTGGAAACGAGTACATTTTCTGAACAAGTATTTCCTGAGATTTTACTTGCGTAATTTCTCATCGAACATAAGTCCAATACCTGTTTCAGCTATTATTGAAATTGTTATTATCACGTCTCGTAAATAATATCATTTTCGGTGATAATACGCTCGTTAGTAATCAAAGTTTGTTTTCTAATTTTTTTGTACTTTGATTGATACACATTCATTAATTCTTTGAAAATTAGAATCTGTAAACTCGTACTTACAGATTTTTATTCATTTCTCTAGCATACCGAATAATCTGATCGTTGTCGTATCACTCCTTGTTTGATTGTGCTTAAAAGTTATATCTTGATCAATTTTATGTCTGATCATTGTACTTCATTGCAATATCATCTTGATCAACTATTGTGATCATTTGAGCATACAATGCTAAATTTAGGAGGGACTGAATGCTTTACAGAAATACCTCTATGGAATGTCAGAACCGACAAACCTACCGAAGAGGACAACCATATCTGAGTGAGCTTAAACTCAAAAAGGGTTTGTGTGCAGAGCTTAAAATGATAAAGAGGGGGGTAGTTGTTGTGAGCCAAAAGAATTGATGAGAGTTGTGTCAGGATTAAAAGAACATAAGAATCCTGATCAAAACTTCAAAATTATGGGCATACCACATAATCTATTAGTCCTCGATTCTTTGGAGACTAATATTGAAAAAGGCAAAGCCCAAGCCAATTCTTGTCACAACCCCACCAGCTACTCATTTATCTCTTCACATATAAGTGTTTCAATAACAGTTGGGGCACGCAGCTCACAATCTATCAATTTCTCATTCAGAGAAAGTTGATATTGGAAAAGAAGGATATATGTTCCCCCCCCCCCTTCAAGTCTTTTTGATCACGCATTAAGTCTGATAAATTTGTGTAGTCCACACGGTTTATCTTTTTGAGCCTAAACAGAAGCATGTGTTGCTTTATCTTTCTACACTACACAGATTTTGCATTTTATAT